CTGCAATAAGAGGAATCAGCATGGTCTCCATGGGTTTATGTAGCAAAAATGAACACCAATTACAGTGCAGTTTTTCCACTGGGATTTAGCCCAACATTTTGTCTAATTATGGTATGAATCCCACACTGGAGAAAACCCTGCTTCTGTAAAGAACTAATTCCCTCTAGAAATGCTAAAACTCTTAAAGAACTCTAATTAGAATACATTTCTCAGTAGATAGAGAGAATCAGAGAGAGAGCCTGTGCCAGCCACTTACCACAACAAAAAACACAGGAAAAGATGAAGGAATACCCTGGGAGACAGAGAGGGAATGGGAAGTAGTTTGGATAAACTTCCCTCATTCTTCATCTAGGTTTGTACTAAATAAATAGCGTGATGGTCCTATGCCTCAAAGTGTTACTGTCAATGGAGAGTTGATAGATTTCTTGACATATACTCAAGTAATAATGTTGGACTAGAGAAACTTTGGGAGAAAAGGGCTGAAAACAAGTTCTATGATACTCCTAAGTTCTGAGACACTCCAAACTAATGTGGCTACCCAGACTTCTTAGGCATGCAGTTAGCTTTGTGTATTGTAGTTCCTGTCACCAAGCATGTTATATCATAAACTGGGTTGCCTGTGATGGAAAAGGGAAAACCCGCTGATTTCCCCACTCCCAGTCCTATTCTTCAGACCAAGTTCCAACATCGATTTGATTGGATTTCTGCAAATCTGAAATAGTTCATTAAGCTGCAGTGCTCTACTGGGGGTTGTTCAAAAGACTGCAGAATGGCAAAAAAGCAGAGAGAAGAGCTGCAGGGCTTCTTCAGCACAGCAGAGGATGGTTGTAGATGAGCATGACAAAGAATAGGCTATGGTCACTCCAGGATGAGATAGATAACCACAGGTACACACTGGAATGGCCTAAACGGTTCCTTCCCCAGCTGTTTGGTGAAATTGAGTTCAAACTCCTATTTTCATTCAATGGAATGGTCTCACATCCTTCATAACACTGAATGAAAGATCTTTCAGACTCACAAGAAGGCAGAAACAGCTTTCCCCAGAGGAGAAGAGCAGGTCGCATTTATTTACAGACGGGTCTACTAAGAAAAATGAAAACAAATGATGATTACTGCTGCAAGATGATGCCTTGGGAGGTGGAAATAGCTGCATCTAATCACCTGAGGGACAGACAGCAGCTCTCACTGCTTCCTGGCCATGGAGACGTTTGTTTGCAGTGTTTGTCTTTCCTTGTGGGAAACAATTGAGAGAATTTATACACCCACAAAGACAAAATCTGCAGAAATGAGACAAAACCTCACAGGCTTCCTGCATCAGCAACATTGAAGTCAAACCATGTGATAACAAGTCAGGAAAGGTGGTTGGCTTCTCCTCATTTTTACCTTTAAATTACATCAAAGGGAATGTGACTTTAAGAATGTAAAGATTTTATTTAGATAATTTCTTCCTAGCAGTTTCCTGTGTAAGTGGTTCACACAGTGATATGCAAAGGTAAATGGAAGGAGAAGCAACAGGACATGCACAAAGATAAACTGGGTATAGCTCAACTGCATTTGCTGCATCTGAACTCAGTGGAAAGAACTGCTTGTTGAATAGTCCCATAGTCTGTCAGCATCCCAGAGTCTTCTGCTGGCAGTGCATCCCTGTGGCTGAATAGAGAAGGTGAGGAATTTACTAAATAATCGTATTTGCTTCCAGTGTCTAAGACAGAAGTAAAGCTGGGAACAAACTGTCTCGTTTCAAGTGATACTTTACACAGATGCCCCCTAAAGCCAACAATTAATCTGAAATGAGTGGCACTGCTTGAGCCTATTTCTGCATATGAGCTAGTCCCTCAGATCCACACATGGGAATGGCACAGAGCAGTGACCATTGATAGTACCATGTCTCTTTATTTTGTAAGCACCCCCAATTTTCTGTAGCAGATGGACAAGTGAGAAGGAAACAGACTCCTGGAGGGGAAGGGTATGGAACCTGCAGTTCTCCAAGATCCAGCAAATCCATGCAGAAGTTCCAGTAGCCACTCCATATAGCTAAAGAATGCGAAAGTCCACGAAGTCCCACTCAGCAAACACAGAGCAATGCATCCAGCAGCCTCTTTTCTTGGTGATGTCAGGTCTTGGACATTACAAATGAGAATGAAAAGGGGGAAAAGACATTCTTTTATTTCTCAATGGGAAAGGCTTTAAAATTTGGTGGCATTGTACAATCAGGTGAGGCACTCTGAGTGCCTCTGGGACTGTTGATATATCAAGTGGGACAGATACTTTGTGTGAAATGAAGCTTTAGAAAGGAAAACTTGTGTTGATAGGGCTGCCTTCCTTAGCAGTATTACATAGAAATACACAGTCTGCTCAAAGATACCATGTGATAAAATGTAATCATATACAAAGTGGTTACTTTTTTATTTGCAGTATATTTATTGAATAAGTTTTAAAGGGCTGTGAGACACTTCTGAGTTAACGTTCTTTAGTATGAAGGGAAGAAACACAGTCTTGACATCTGCCTCTGGCAGCTTTTCAGCTGAGGTCAGAGCAAGCAGAATTTGGGTCCCAACTTAAATTCTGATACTATCATTTCCCATTAGTAGAGCTGATGTTTATGTCAATATTTGAATCTGTCCTGCAGCTTCTTGGAAATAAGTTTTTTTCAGTGATAGTTGTGCTGGCTCATGTGGTTTAGTTGCTGATTTAATATGTTAGAACATTTATGTTCTAAATTGTAGCTTTTGAATGTCACGTCAGAAAAATTAAGCAGTTGTAGAGGACAAGAGAAATGTCTTGGGCTAGTCTGCTTCCTGATGGCTGAATGAGTGACAAATACCAAGCCAACTTGATCTGCATGGATTTTTGTTACATTTAAATGTCATTAACTAACTCAGCAGCTGTCTGTCTTAGTTGGATTAATATCCAAATTATCACACAGAATTTGTGCTCTTGTGCAGTACTGAGAGTAGCGCTCCCTGAGGAGCCAATCTTTAGATGGGGTGTGAAGCCGCCATCCTGCCTAGTGATACCTGTGTATTATCCCTGTGGCAGAAAGCTCAAGGGCAACCTGCCTCCTGCCTTCTTTTCCAGGTAAACACAGGCAAGCATGGCATGTGGATATTGCTGAGAGTGTGTTTGCTGTATTCCCTTAGAATCATAGAATCACAGAATCAGCTAGGTTGGAAAAGACCTTTAAGATCATCAAGTCCAACTGTTCCCCAGCAGTGGGAAGACCACCACTAAACCATGTCACTGAGGGCCTTGTCTACACAGCTTGTGAATACTTCCAGGGGTGGTGACTCCACCACTGCTCCACCACTGCTCCAATGCCTAATTGCCCTCTTGGTGAAGAACTTTTTCCTAGTATCAGTCTAAACCTCCCTTGGCTCAGCTTAAGGCTGTTTCCTCTTGTCTTATCACTTGGGAGCAGAGATTGACCCCCACCGTGCTCCATCCTCCTTTCAGGTAGCTGTAGAGAGCGATAAAGTCCCCCCTGAGCCTTCTTTTGTCCATACCAAGCCCCCTCAGGTCCCTCAGCTGTTCGCCATCACAGTTGTGCTCCAGGCCTTTCCCCAGGTCTGTTGACCTTCTCTGGCCCCACTCCAGCACCTCAATGTCTCTCTAGTAGTGGGGGGCCCAGAACTGACACAGGATTTGAGGTGCAGCCTCCATCACTGCCTTGGCCATGCTGCCACACTGGTGCTGATGCAGGCCAAGATGCTGTTTGCCTTCTTGGCTGCCTGGGCACAAGCTGCTCATGTTCAGCTCCATCAGCCAGTACCCCCAGGTCCTTTTCCATGAGCAGCTTTCCAGCTGCTCTTCCCCAAGCCTGGAGCATTGCAGTCATTGTGCTATTTCACAGATTAAACCTGCTTGTGTGTGGTTAATGGAGTATAAAAGGTGCTATTCTAAATAAGGAAGCAATTTTTAAAGTTTTGTACTAAATATATCACTGAGAAAATACTAGTCCTGCCTGTGGACCAACTGTATCCAGTATGGATGTTACTTATCATTCTGTTCTCCACACAAACACAATCAGCTATAAAAGCCAAACCAAACAGCTCACCCATATACAGACTTTTAAAGGTAAATAAAGAACCTGTTGTACACAAAGCATTTGAGAAGCAGTTTCTTGTTACTAATACAAGTCCATGGAATCAGTGTCTTCTCTAATTTTAGCATTGGTTTTGTGTGGAGATTTTATACTTCCCAAGCCCTTGGAGAAAGAATTGGCAAATAAGTGTATATAAATGTGGAAAGCACATAGGGCTTGTATAGCTAAGCCAGAATGAGACTGAAATAAAGAAGAGAAGATGGGTAAAATTCATGCCTTGTAAAGACGTAGCTCAAACAATGTTGCTCAAGGTTTGTCTATAAGAGGCAGTGACTCTCCCAGCAGTAACGTGCTGTATTTGATTCCATCTTTCCCATCCACAGAAGCAAAGTCTGTCTCTGTGCATCAGTCAGAGGTGAGAGGATTGGGTCAGATTATCATTTCACAAATGTAAAGAAACATTTTTTTTCCTCACTGTTCCAAATGATCTGCCAGGATATTTGAATCCAGTGCTATCTTTTAGTGCTCAGTGGGTTAACTTTCCATCTGTGTGTTCCCCATTAGTCTATGTCCAAAGCTGTTCACACTATTCATTATTGCAGTGCCAGGCCCTGGCGTTTCTTCAACTTTCTTTGGAGGAAAACAAATGAAAAGTGAAAAAGCTTTGGCAGAACTGGTCTGTCTTTTGAGGAAGAAAACCCAACATGAGTACGAGAGGAAATGGGATTATGAATTTGGGTCTGTTTAGGAGAATGATGTCCATTTGATTCACACTTCACACTGCATTTTAATTACTGAGTGATACTTGGGAGGCTAAATGGCATGAACATGATTGTATTCACCTCAGTTATCTAATGGAGAACAAAGGCAGAGAGAGGTAGAATGTCTTTTTGTCTCCTGCTGCTCATTTCCTGCTGATGCTTTCTTTTGATTTTCAATTGTTTTGTTCAATTTTATTTTTATTTTCAAAATTTGTTCAATTTTATTTTTATTTTCTTTCCTCTTTTAAAAGTTCCGTCTTTTTCTGATATCTGGAATGCAACTCTTCCCTGTGTGGTTGTTAATGTCAGGAACCAATACTTCCAGCAGGTGATGACACATTTGTATACTTCTGAAACTCTGCTGTGTAAATCTGCCAATCAAGTGGGAAAAAAAGCAGTTTATGGTTTTCCTTCTTGAATGGGATAAATACCTGAGAATTTCCAAACCACTGATAATTTCTGTACATGTCCCATGGGCTTTTCCTGCTTACGCCACTTCACTTTCTTGATTCAACTCTTCACAAGGAATTCAAGGGCAGAGAGATAAGTCAGCAAATCCAGGCTCCAGAACACATTCTGGTACGTGTCTCTCTGGGTTTTTGGCTGTTGTTGTGGCTTTTACTGTTTTCTGCAAGGCCTTTTGGAGGGATAGGAGGCTTTCCTAACAGCAGGTTTCTGTAATGTCAGTTTTACTGAGGCTGTTGCACACACATTGTATGTAGTATCAACAGCCAGTGGGCACCAGCCAGTCAGTCTGTGCTGCCTGACACTCTCCAGATGCTCTGTGCTGCTGTTGATGGTTGTGCAGTAAGTTCTAGGGCTCAACAGACAGGCAGAGATTCTTTCCACAACCATTTTGCAGAACAAAACATGTTTCACAAGCACACAGGCCTTTTTGCTTTGGGGTCTCTAAGTGGTAGGAATCCTGCTGTGCATTTCCACATCTGTGAACTGCTGGACTGTATTCTCAGTGCTCTCTGGAGACGTGGTGATTGGGGCAATAACATGCTTCAGGCGCAAGAGCATGGAGAAAAGCAATATGAGAAGTATAGCCAGAAGTGTTAGGAACAATCCCATGTACATGTAGAGGCTGGAATATTTATCTGCTCTTGTGTCTGCTTCTGTAGCCAGAGTTGGAAAGTGGACACGGCCCGTCAGGTTTCCACGGAATTTGAAATAAAGCTCAGTCATTGCTCTCTGTCACCTTTGGTCCATTTTCACCATTTACTTTCAGGTCTGCTGTCTTCTCTCACCAGACTCACCAAGTAGGTCAAGAGAGGAAACTTAGGATACACGATGGCTTCAGCAAGAACTGCTCCATCCTCTTCATCTCAAGACTGCTGGTTTACACAGTTAAGCAGATTGCATGAGATAGGCCTTTGCAACTCATTTTGCCATTTACAACAACAACAAGAAGCATTAGACTTGTGTTTTGTATCTGGCTTTTATTTTGTCCTGAAAATGCTTTGGTTCTTCTTTTCATAGGCTACCTCCTTTGGTAGGTGAAAAGCTTTAGTCCTTCTCGCAAACTGAACTACAAAGGTTTGCACAGCTCTGGTCTTTGCAGGTGCTGTTTTCCAGTCAGCTTTCTGCCAGCTTCTCCCACAGCATGTAGGTTGTCCTTGCGTGAGCTGGGGAAGGTTGTTCTCTGCTTTGCCAGACTGCTGGGGGGAATCTCTTCTCTCCTAATCCAGAGCTATTGATACATGCTTAAAGAGTATGGAGTTTTGAGTTTCTCATTAGGAACACACAAAAAGTTGACTTTCTATAAGGGAAAAAATGAGAGAGAGAGAGAGAGAAATGAAACCAGGTATCGGAATAGCAAAGCCTATATGTCGTATCTCCTGAACAAATAAGAAAACCCTCACCTGCTCCTGTGAGAAACCTTATGATCAGGAGGAGCACTGAGTATTTAACTTTAAAGAAAGACCATGCAAATCTAATTGTTAAGGTCTCTTCTTTACTAGCACTCACTACTTAATGGGTAGGAGAAGGCCCCACAGTCTATGGAATTAGATGTCACAGAGGAAGGGGAGATACGAATCCAGCCAGTGTCTTCCACCATGTGTGTCTTATTCATTATTTACCAGGACCCTCTGTTTCTGAGGCAGGGTGCCCCAGGCAGCATCCAGAACTCTACCTGTTCTGCTGGGGCAACTCTGTCACAGGGTGTGATGCTCCACTTACTGCTTGGGAACAGAGCTTCCTAGAAATGGGAGAAACCTTAACGGTTTAGCATTTTTAATTCTTCTGGCTGGAAACAGAAAGTGTAAATGCCAAAATTTCACTGCAAATGGTGCATCCAAAAGCATCATGTTCTGCTTTTTTGGTTTTAGCTGAAACAAAAATGGTAACACTGAAACAAAGTGATGCAGTCATTTGTAGTGCTCACTACATATACGCCTACATGAGATGTGAACGTAGTAATAGTAATATGGTAATATACTATGGTAGTCAGATTAAAACGAAGCATTAGGTCAAAATGATAAGAGTTCTGATGCTTTTAGATAAAAATTTCATGTAAAAGACATTCTGCTGCAAAAAATCATGACTTTCATGAGGCTTCAGCTTGTAAAATGTAGCTGTTTATTGACAATGTTTGGTTGTGTTCTCCCCATGCACCAATGGGAACAACACCTTGCTGTTCTTCAGAGAGAGCTGCTTGAAATCTGGAGGCCTCAGTCATCAAGGGGCTGATATCCAGGTTTTCATTACAAGCAAGACAGCCCTATTTTGGCTCACGTGATAGGAAACATCTGATGTGCTGAGTTGTTGAGGAAGGGACACTGGGGATCATCTACACCTTACCTCCCAACTCCTGCAACACCTTCTTCAGTAGCAAAGTATTTGAGATAACAGTGATGCAATTTAGGGACTATTGGGACAGATCCTGCTTAGTAAAAGGCTGTCTAAACTGGGCCAAACTGCTGACGGAAAAACTTGACTTCTGCAGTCCCTGGGTGGGTAGTGGAGTCCACGCTATGCTTTGTGCAGGAAGATGTGGGCAAGCATGGAGCGAAAACGGCTGCTCAGTACTTTTCCAGGGGATGACCCAACCCCTTTGGCGCCAGTTAGTTATACTGGCAGCAGGTTTGGTGCTGATGCAGAAGTGTGAGACATGAAAGTGAAGGTTGTGTTGCAGCCAGGCACTTTTGCTCTCAATTTTAGGGCAGTAACTGTGATTTTCACACTTTGAACTTATAAATGGGAATTCTTCCCCTATGAAAAATATTCTTAGGTTACACATCAGGTGGGAAATAGAGGGTGAGAAAGTTATTTGCCATATTAAACCTCTGTTTCTACAATATGATTTCTCTGTTGATAATGAAATGCAATCAGTCTGGAATTTGACACTTTTGTGGGTTCAAGTACAGAGCAGTGTCTTTGCCCATCTCATCTGCTGTCTTCCTGAGAGCAAAAGCCAGAGCTCGTTTCTCTCCTTAAGGAGCAGGGAGCCTAATGGCTTTACATACTTTATAACATTAGACTGCACAACACTGAAGACATTAGTCTGAGGTTCAGTAATGAACTGCAAACCAAGACATTGAATTAACAAAGTTCAGCTGGGCATTTATTGATAAAAGCAGCAGATTAATAGTGACAAGTGTTAGCAATGGGGAGTTGGCACAGCTTTTTGGTTTTGTAGTCTCAGCTATAGAATTGTCAGGAGCAATCAACCATTCAGACCATTGAAAGCTGTGGAATTAACAACATCTTTCCCAGAAATGAGCTGCAAATACTTCAGTAGCTCTAGGAAACCCCAAAGATTTTTGCTTTTCAATCTACCAAATTACCTCACTGAGCACATGGGTTTGGGTATTAGTAGATTTACCTTTGCACACTCCCCTTTAAGGAACAGAAGCTTGAAGCTTTGTAGAGACCAAAGTCATGTGGAAATAAGTTGTACACAAGGATTCTATAAAAAGCTGTGTATAAAGGAGGTCAGCACTGTAACTTTGCATGACTTAGATCACAGGAGGCAAAACCTCACTGGTTTCCTTGGGAAGCCCTTGAGTCCATGGACAGAGATAGTAAGTAGAAGTTTGTAACAGAGCACAGCAGCATAACTAGAGCCCACATTCCCTGTGATCTCAGCTGTTGATCAAGGCTTAGTAATTCTTCTCTGGCTGGATAATAGTTTCTGAGATGTGCCAAGCATGCTCAGTGGGCACAGATTGATTCCAAGCAGACACTTCTTTATTTATCAGTTTGTGGTTGTTTCTAAGCAAGGATTACAAAATCCCAAACCAATGTACTTCACGTAATAACAACCAGTAATGAGAATAGAAGACTCATACAAAACAACAGGTTTCTTCTCAGAGTGTGTCACTGAGACAGGAAATTCACAAGCCTTCATGGCACTCAAATCACCATGCTCCCGCTACAGCAATCAGACTTGGGGAACTTCAGGTTTAGGGAGTGTTTATGGAGGCTGCATGGCCCTACTCTGCACCTTTGTAGGGTACAGGGGAGGAGAGAAAGTCAGATTTTCCCCAAAACAGTGCAGCCAGACGGTACAAATGTATTCTGCAACTGCAGAACATGTCTTGTCTTGCCTGCTCGCTTCCTTTGACTCCCATACTCGCTTGAAGTGCCACTTGCAGCAAAGCATCTCTGAGAGTGCAAACAATATTCTGAGTTCTCTTTTGCTTTTCCACCCAATGCTCCAAGTGGAACAGATCAGAACAATTACTTTTAGCTTCTCCAAGGCTGTTAGACTGCACTGAACTGGCTGGCAAACACAGAAAGGTTTGAACACACGCAGTACCAGGTGTATTCTGCCTAAGTGACCTTTAGAGAGAAAAGTCAGCATTGAAGTGTAAATAAAGTGTTAAAGTATCAAATCCATCCCCGGTTTGCATTTTCTCCAGGGAGAACTTGAGGGAGAGGAAAGGGGGGGGGGGTCTCTGCTTTCAGTGGCAGACGGTAGTTTTGCTGTCATGCTGAAGTGCACGATAGTGTCAGTGTCTCAGCTGTGGTAGTGCATAGGAAGAGAACAGAATAAAGCATAGTTACCTTTCAGAGCAGGCAGTGCAGCCCATGAGCTTGCTGATGATTTATCTGGGAACATGTCCTCCCAGGGAGTGGGATTCGCGCAGAAGAGATCTGCTGTCTGATTGCTGGAGTCAGGATACTGTGTTCAGCAACACACACGGCGAGTGCACTTTCTTCTCCTTTGCTGTTGAAGTCGCGCGGTTCGCTGGCAGGCACGGCTCTTCCTCCGGCTCTGGAGATGTCAACTGAGAGTCTGACTGAGCAGCGTCACTGCTGGTGCCCTCCTCCGCGGGCGATGGGAGAAGGGGGACAAGGAACCTTCTCTTCGGGAGCCTCACTGCTCGGGTGGAAGCAGCCCTCTCCCTGCCCAGCGGTAGGCAGCAGTTCAACAGGGAGGACGGTGCCGCCTGGGCTGCGTTGCCTCCCGGCGCGGAGGGAGGGGAGGGAGTCGGTGAGCTCAGCTCGCTGCAAAGTTTTGGGCAAGGTTCGTCTTAACCCCTCCGTGGTTAGGAGTGGTAAATGAGACTGAGCTCCTAACTGTGGGGTAAGACACGAGCCAGGAAGTTACCGGGTGCTTTCTCTAATTTTCTGGAAGGTGGAGAGGTTTTTTGTTTTGTGCCTCTTGGGAAGGGTTACCTGGTGAGCGCTCCCAGGTGGGCTCCTGTCTGGATCCATGGACAAGTGTCACCTTTCAGCTGAAACCCTCAGTGTAGTCCCCAAGCTCTTCAGCACTGGAGCTTTTGATGTGTTTGTGTCCCTGTGCTTGCTGCTTGGTGCTTTGGGAAGGGCTGTGTGGCTGCTTAAGATTACGGGTCCTCTTTCCCTTGAGTACTTTGAAATTCTGCATGAATAAGCTTAACCCCAGCTTTGCAGTGTTGTGGGCAAAAATTTTTTCAGCAATTTATGAATGTGTGAAGCACAGATCTACCTACAATGAGGCAGAACGAGCCGAGGTTGTGGTAAGAACACAAACCATCCTGATCCCTCTGATTACCACTCCTATTGACCTGCATTTCTTAGCTCCCCCCAGCTGACAAAGGAAGTGTGTTTTGTGATCCTGTTCCAGTTATGACACAAATTAGGGTAAACCATATCAAGGAATCAGTATAATTTTAGTTTTAGTGTGCATGTTTCAGAAGGGGGATGGGGGACAAGATTTCCTTTCCTTTCTACAGGGTGGCTCAGTCTGGGGGGCAGTGCAGTGACCCCCAGGGTTTCACCAGCAAAGGAGCACAGCTGGACCAATACACAGAGTAGCAGTAGTTTGCAGCTGTATTTCACATGTCCATGTCCCTGTGCCTCAGCAGGTAGGTTGGCTGGAGGCATCTCATGGGGTGAAGCTGACCTGCAGGCCCATGCTGGCCGCTTGGCTTCCTGTGCCTGGAGGTTGTCTTCCGTGGCCTGTGTTTGGGGCACTGGGAGCAAAGTTCCCCAGTGAAATGTGGGTCCCGCACAGGGGTTTGGGAAAGACAAGTTCATTCTCTCTCTGCCACTTTCTCTGTGACAAAATAGAGACATTTCATCTCAAAACCCTCTCCTCAGAATTGCTTTCCCTCTCTGGTCCCCCATGGCCACAGCTTGAGCCGAGGGGCCAAAGGGTAATGAAATCCAGATCTACACAACTCTTTCATCCTCCTGGGGTGGAGGGTATTATAAATCCCTCTCTCACAGGTCTCTTCAGTCTCTGGAGCTCACAAGCACAGTGTTTTATTGCAGTGCAGCACTATTTAGGTAAATAAAACATAGCCCCTGGAAAAAATACCATTCCTCC